CCATTGTTCTGGGTACTAATTTTGTTGGAACTGGATAGTTTTTTGCAGAGTTCAGTTTATTTGTAGTACCAAAAAACAACAACAACAAACTAATAACTTCCAAAGTAGGCCCACTCCTAAAATACCAGTGCCTGAACCAAAGTCAGAATGAACTACCTTCATTTAGTGAGTGAAATTGCCAAGATGTTGTTGTTTCTGATGCGTTAACCTCAAACAAAATGCCTGATACAGTGTAAAGTTAAGTAAAGTTCTGGCTGCTCTAATATCCATAACAAACAACATTACCCATGTATTATTATAGGCACAAACCATATAATTTCAAGTCCATGATTATTTGAACCAGCCATCATACTTATGGATGAGAGGAGACTGCTATTCCCATCCAGATGGTTCCTAGACCTAAATCATTCGCCAACAATTTAAAGTAGCAGGAGCTGCTAGTGCCATTGCATGCTGTTGAACATTCTGCATTTGTTACGAAATCAGCCAAAAGGGAATTTGTATCCACTACTTCATTACAGGATATGGATCCCTCACATATCCAGTGACCTCGTAAGCTCATACTCTGGCTGTCTTTTCTATAGAACTTCATAATAACTGGGCCAAGGGAGTCCTGTTTTATTTTGGATAATGGCTGGATTGTGACACCTTGGAATATATATATATATATATTTATACCAGCAAAAGTACCAGACTTCGCTCAGATTATTAGATCGATTTATTCTAGATTACTATGTCAGTGTGTGTATTCTGAAACCATTTTAGCATAAAAGTATAACCTATATACTTTTGTTGCTCCTTTACGGGATGTGGCCTTTTTATGAAGGTAACCTTCCCTCTGACTTGTCCTTCGATTTTAAACGTAAATAATAATAAAACAAACAATAAAAAACAAACCTCTTTAATTAACGGATACTATAAATTAGATAACAACAAATATATTTTTTGCAATTTTGTAGTTTATACATTTCATTATACACTTTCAGCACATAAACTCTTAACAACAATATTAGGTTATACTTATATTTCTGAGCAACATGATATAAAAGCCATTGTTGGAACGTATTGTTACCAAAATGCACTGGCTTTTCTATACATTAAACATTGTTATATAAGGAACCATTTCTTTTCCATGTTGTTTTTCGCTAGATTGCCTCATTAAAAAAGATGAGCATGCGCATGCTCGCACACACGTGCGTGTCTGTCTGTGATTTCTATTTGTAATATAAGGAACCACTTCTTTTCTATTTGGTATTTCGCTAGCTTGCCTCATTAAAAATATGCCCATGTGCGTATGCACATGGATGATATAAGAAATAATACCTAGGTGAACATCCTCAGGGTCCACTTAGTATGGGTGCAAAATTTCAGGTTTCCAGGTTCTTTCTTCTTGGATCTATGGTGGTTACATTCACAGACACGCACGTGTCTGTCTGTCTGTGATTTCTAATTCTAATATAAGGAATCATTTCTTTTCTATGTGTTTTTTTTGCTACTTGCCTCATAAAAAGATGCACGTGGAGAAGTAATAATCCCCAGATGCATGCCTTCAGGGTCAAATTGGTATGTGTGCAAAATTTCAGGTTTCTAGGTTCTTTTCTCTTGGAACTATGGCAGTCACATTTATTTTCTATGTGGTTTTTGCATAAAAAAGATGCTCGCGCACATAAGCGCACGCACGTAGATAAGTAATAATATCCAAGTGTACACCCTCAGGGTCCACTTGGTATGGGTGCAAAATTTTAGGATTCTAGGTTCTTTGCTCTTGGAGCTATGGTAGTCATATATTCTTTTCTATGTGTTTTTTTTGCTTGCTTACCTCACAAAAAGATGCGCACACGCGCACACACGTAGATAATTAACGGTACCCAGATGTACAACCTCAGGGTCCACCTAGTATGTGTGCAAAATTCAGGTTTCTAGGCTCTTTCTTTTTTGAGTTATGGTGGTCACACAGACACAGCCCCACATAAATATAAGTATAAGGATCAGAATAAGCTACAGTAGCCAGTGCTGGATGCTCCTTTTTTAGCTCCAGTATTTAGTTTGATGTCATCCCAGAAAGAACCTTAGTCAACTACAAAACGTCTATGATAGCAGAACTGTACATCATGGATTTGCTCATGAGGCCCTCTACCTACTGTGAATGAGGATTTTCTCATGATTCTTGGTTGATATGCTCGGAAAGATATCATTAGTACTAAATGAAATACATCCTCTTTCTTTAAATGTCTGGAGAAGCATGAAATCTTGACAGATGTGGCGTTTTCGAGCAAGATTAGCATGGGAATATGCATTGTTGTTGCATTCGACATCCAACTCAGATGCTAATTGTGATGTGAATCTGTTGTCAGTGTGTATTTTTGGTCTAAATGACTACTGAACGCTCAACTGGTGAAATATTATGTGTTAAACTTGACTTGTCACACTCTTTGTAGCGGGCTTCATACACCATACATGCATCACCTTTCTTTCTTTAATTATATGTGATTCTGAATGGTGTCTAATGACGACTGGCCTGGTAACTGAATACATAAGTGTCCCATAGAGACCACTTCAGTTGATCTTGGAATGTTGAGATTATTTGTTATCATTATAACCCATTTTTGCTTCTCTATGTTCGAGAAGAAGTCAAGTTGGTGCAATAATTGGGGTTCTTTGAGCTGAATGTCATCCTCTCAGTCCTGAAGATTGATAGAGAATGCATATATATATATTTGTCATCATAGTTGGCAAGAACGCTTGATCAGAAGAATACTACATTTATCATCAGGCTGACGTTGATGTCTTCTAGGGCCTGGCAACACCATTTTCTACTAAATATTTTGTGGAGTTCAAGCCTCTATGGGTGGAGGAAACAGTGCATCGACCACATAGTTATCATTAATTATTCATTTTTTTCCTAAATCAAACAGTTATTTCATATATTTATTTTTGTATAAGACAAAAAGTAAGTAGTTTCGTCTAAAAGGTATTGTTGCGTCATCGAGATCACGTGACAATTCTCACTCTCTCTTGTTTCTAGAACTATCCCGTATCTTGGCGAATGGTCTAGTATTTACAAGAAATAGGGTACGCTGGTATATATATAAGAGGGGAAAACGTGACGCGGGAATGAAAGGTAATGTGTGTGTAGATA